ATTATTCTCAGGGCTCTTTTTTGAATGACCAATAAACTATGCAGTTGAGTCTTGGAGCAGTTGCCTCATGCTAAAATACCGTAATTTAAATAAGGGAAAATTAAGGTGGAGTATAGATTCAACAGGACATCAAGAGGAAAAAAGTGTTTAAGTCTGTTGATGACGCCGGTATTTCGTGATAAAAGTTTACATAAATTTCCAACGTGCATTTTCCAATTAAGTTTACAGTCTATAACAAGACCAAGAAATTTTGTGTGTTCAACAAATAAAATGTTTATGTCATTAATGGAAATGTTACCAGGTTGTGATGTTATGGAGTTACTGAAAAGCATATAGTTCGTTTTAGTCACATTAAGAGATAATTTATTGGCATTAATCCACTCCAAAACAGATAGTAATTCATTGTTTACAACGTCAGCAATAATATTGGGATTTGGATGAGTAAAGAAAATATTGGAATCATCGGCAAAAAGTATGAATGACAAAATGGGGGAGGAAGTTTGGAAATCATTAATGTAAAGTAGAAACAAGAGCGGACCCAGGAGAGATCCTTGCGGGACAAAATACCAAGAATGAAAGTGGAGAAAGACTACCCTAATTAATTAATTAGTAAATACCAAATATCTACCAAATTGTGATGTTTTTTAAACTTCTTAAAATCATCGGTCAGAGTACTAACAATTAGATATTTAAAATATTTATCAGCAAGAAAATTTGTGCATTCCTTAACATACACTTTTTCAAAATATTTATGAATTTCCTGTAAAGCCGTTTCATCATCCTCAATAATTTTTCCATTCACGTATAAACTTTCTATTTCTTTTTTTTGCCCATTGCGCTTTTCCAACTGTAAAAAATATTTGCTTGCCTTCTCACCTCTTCAATCCATTTTGACCTCGATCTTACAAACGCCCCTTTACATTTATGTGTATAATATTTATCTATTTTCTTCTGTGCTTCCTTCATCTTACTAATAACATCTTCATTTGGATCCCTATCTAACTGTTCACTCAAGGTATCATATTCCTTTTTAAGTTTATTAAAATCATTTTTTTTTAACATCATATTTTGTTTACAGTATGACATCGTAAATTCTTTTATCTTAACTTTACATATTTCCCATTTGTCCTGTGGTGACAATTGTTTGTATTCCAATTAAACTTGTTTAATCAAATTACGTACACCCGTCTGATACTTTGCATCCACTATTAAGATATTATTATTTATCTTCCAAAACCCTTTGCCTCTCTTTACAATTGTCAATTTCAAAGAAATAGCATTATGGTCACACTTTCAAGCCGGACCAATGTCCGAAGATTAAACTAAATGGCTTACCTTCTTTGATATTAACCAATAATCTAACCTAGAAAATAAAGAGAGAGACATCTGTCTCCATGTATATTGTCTCTTGTCTGGATATAAATGTCTCCAAATATCTACCAAATTGTGATGTTTTTTAAACTTCTTAAAATAAAACTTCAGAACAGTAGCAGAAGAGATACCACGTGTATCCATTTCCTGACTTTGAACACAATTCCAGTCCCCTCCTCCTATCATATTCAACTAATTTAAAAGCATTTTATAAAAAATTTCTTTTCCCGATTTTTGGGAAGGAGCATAAACATTCAAAACAAAGTAACATATTCCATTGAAGCTGAAACGAGCAGCTACAATTGTCCTGTCACTTTTATTAAAAACATGTATTAAATCAATTTTCGGGTCTCTGTTAATTAAAATTGCAACACCCTTTCAATGATTGGTTCCGTTATTAAACAAACATGTACCAGTCCACTCATTACAAATATTCCTTTGTAGGTCGTGAGACAATATAATTAAATCTCTTCATTTTTAAAGTTTTCCCTGTTTGCTGATGATACATGTGCTCTTATGAGTAACAGTAATATACACATACTTGCTTCATCAGTAAACAGGGATATTTCAAAAGTTTCTTCCTGGTTTAAAGTAAACAAATTATCTTTGAATGTTACTTAAACAAATTATGTCATATTTCGGTCAAAGAATAGAAAGGTGCCCAGTCATTTAGTACCTGTTGTTATTGATGTTCTTGTTATATCCAATTTGAAAAATGTAAAATTTCTTGGTGTTACAATTAAAGAGTCTTTGAATTGGAATGTGCATATATCAGAAATTTCTAAGACACTTGCTAGATATGTTGGTATCCTCTCTTAACTAAAATTTGTATTGCATTATATAATAAATATATAATGTGTTATATATTCTGTACAATAGCCTTGTTTTACCTCATCTAAACTACTGCAACTATATTTGGGGGAATACTTATAAATCACATCTAAACAAATTATATATTTTACAGAAAAAGTCTCTAAGAAATATAACAAAGTCACAAATGCAAAGTCCAAGTATACCACTCTTTAAACAGATTCTAATCTTGCCTTTATACAATTTGATTGATTGATTTCATTTCATTTCATATAACAATTGCTTGCACAATAAAGAACATAGTTGACAAAGTAAGATCAAAATTATGAAATGGAACAGGAGCCTACTGGAAAGCATAACTTGTTTTTGTAGGTTCCCAAGAATAAATATAATATGAACATTATTTTAATAAATCATTTTAATGTGTCTTAATAATCACAGTAAAATAGAAATAAGATTATACAAATGATGCATGCGCATGAGTTCATTATAGGATCTATCTGCACTCTAGTTGAAGCTGTGTGTATCTATTGCACGAAGCCGTTAGGCTGAGTGCGATAGATACACACAGCATCAACGAGGGCGGATAGATCGTATAATGAACAAATGAAAACATGCATCATTTGTTTTATACAACAAAACTCCTAGAACCTTGTTATTTGATGTAAAAAGAATTCATTCAAGATTGTTTTGTGACAGTATATGGCTGACAAATAAATCTCAAGTTTAATAAGGCTTAATTTAGTGCGCACATAGCTGTAGATATAGCAAGCGCACTAATTACCTCTATACCTATTTACGCATAGTGCTGTGCAAAAATAGGCTCATGCTCACGCAGTATTAAGCGCTCTAACCTCTACGCTCACTACTGCGCTCTGAAAACGAGTTCAATAGTACTGGAAAATATTGCACTCCTTTTCATGAAAACGAGCGCAATAGGCTCATTAAATGAATCACACGTGACCGCGCATGACCAATCACTCTGGGAGTGAGTTGTATAAAATAACATATTTTCATAAACCATTTTAAAGTATCTAAATAATCAAAATATACAAAGAGAAAAAATTGTCAAAACGGGACACAAAAGACAGGAAACTGACATAATAAGATAAGACAAGACATGACAAAACAAATTCATAACAGGACAAGATAAACAAGACATGACAGGACAAGACAAAAAAAGACATGACAGGACAAAAGGAGACAAAAACAAAGCTGCACACAACAGAAGTTAGAGGAAGAGAGAGAGAGAGAGAGAGGGAGTGTGTGAAACAGGGGAGATGTGAGTAGTTTAACTTGTAGGAGACATGTATTTTTGTATTAAATTATTTTTGAACCCTCTACTAAAACTATAATATGTGGGTTTATTTCTAACTGGATCTGAAAGAGAGTTCCAAAGTTTTGAGCCTGAAAATACCAATGATTTATTTGAGAGCAAAGTTCTTGTTTTTGGTAGATGAAAAAGCTTGGCAGACCGAGTAGGATAATGATGAATATTGACATTCTTTGTAAACATTGAATAAAAAACATTTGGCAGTTCATTTTTATTTAAATTAGACATGAATATTCCCAGATTATAACTGTATAAATCTGTTATCTTTAGGATACTAAGTGTGTGAAAAAAATGTGTGCGCTCGAAAATCAGAATGACATATAACACGCAGCGTTTTTTCTGGAGTAATAAAATTCTATTTAAAAGATAGTCAGCACAATTGCTCCAAGCTATAATTCTGTAGTTTAAGTGTGGGAGGATCAACGTTGAATACAGGTTTAATAATAACCCTTTTGGAAAGTAAAATTTGACCTTGTTTATAATGTCAATATTTCTTTGTTCGTCAGTTCAAAGAATATCAGGGAGTACATCATCTAGATAGGAAGATCCTTATTAAACCAACGGATTGTCTCATCGAGCTCACGAAGTCCGGAAGCGCTGTGGGGGAATTTGTAGATCGGACAGTCATCAATGACGTGATCCATAGTTTGGATCTCTCCATAGGCGCAGTTTGGTGATGATTCAGCTCCAATTTTATGTAGGAAATATTGTGTATGGCCAACTCCAGTTCTGATACGGTTTAGGACTTTAGGTTGACCCAGGCTTTTCTTGGGAGGGTTACCGCCCTAGTTCTAACCAAAATTCCATGCTCTGCTGTTCAGGCGCGAGGCCTGCTTTGAACACTCCAATTTTTTCAAATGCTTCATTGACAGTATTTGTACTGTACATTCCGGAACAGTCCACATTTCCTAACTCTTTGAAAAGATTCACATTATCTTCAGAAAAATCATGTTGGGTATAAGTAGTATCTGTGTTCAATATGGGGATATTTTTAAATTTAAATTGTGAAAATACTCTAATTTTTATGTACTCTGTAAGACATAACATTTTTTTTTGGAAAGATAGAAGAGAAGATGAAAAAACGGAAAACAAAAAATAACATGAGGATCGAGAGATAGGAAGAAGAAAATGATAGAATAATAAAACAAAGAATAACGTAAGGATAAGTAAATGAAGATAAGAAAAGACAGAAAAAGAGAAAGATCGAAGGAAAACAAAGAATATCAAGAGAGATAGGAAGAAAATAATAATACATGTAGAATGATAACAAGAAACAATAACATAAGAGATGATAAAAGAAAACAGACCAAAGAATAACATAAGGAAAGTCAGAAAGAGAAAATGATAAAGAATAGATATTTCATATTTGAAAGATAGAAGTGAAAGAAGGAAAACAAAAAACAACATGAGGAGAAATAGGAAGAAGCCAATGATAGAATAATAAAACAGGGAATAACGTTAATAACTATATTCACAAACAATGCAGGTCCAGTTTCTCGAGCTTCTTGATTTTAAGTGTACCACACCAGCCTCATCTCATGACCTAGCCGAAGCACTGTGTTCTATGCCAAACCTGACTGCTCTGATTGCCCACAGATTTGGAAGGAATCTCAATGAGGAGTTCTACTCTACATTGAAAGCAATGGGATCATCCATACAGGTATGTGTATGCTAATCTTTATGTCATGAAGGGTCATTGGTCGACAGAAACAGCTGTAATAGTTGTATGGTGCACATGTATATATCTTCTTTCTTCTTTCCAAACACCCCTTTTTAAAGGCAATTCACTAATAATATTGGAACATTTATGAAACATAGAATAAAAGCAAACTACACATGTACTGATTCAGTTGAAATCCAAATGTGTATAAGATTGACATTATTTTGATAAATAATCAGTATCCAACATTTTCCAAGTTTGATTGATTTGTAAAATATGTCATATATAGTTTTTAAAAAAGCCAATTTAATTAAAGGCTTGAAGTTTCCACAACTGCACCTTAGCAACAAATCTTCTGACTTATGATTATTGTGCACATGAAATCCAGATTATGTATACCTTTAATACATTAATAGCAAATGTATATTTATGGGTATTTATTGATTCAAGTTTGAGTAGGAGTAGGATTTATCAATGCAAACAAGTTGGAAGCCCTGTAAAGAATACATATAAAAAAATTTTAAAATCATTCCTAATCATCATCTCCATAAACATTTCAGTATGTTCTTTTTCTCAATAGATGAGAATTGAATTTGAAAATAAAATCTATTTAATCATTTTTGTTGAGAATATTATTATGAATACAACTACTGTAAACGCTGTTATTTTTGCGTGATTAATTTTTCACGCTGAGTGACCCCAAAACAAATTTGCGGTTCTTAAAGTCACGTTGCACGGAATTCATCCCATTTGAAACACGCATAAGAAGTAATACTTTTATATTCGCAGGTTTTGATATTCGCGGACACCGACTTTAGCGCAAAATCTGTTAAAATTAAAGCACCGCAAATATTATCATGTTTACAGTATGTAATTAATGGAGTATGTCTGAATTGTAAGGGTACACCCAGAAATTGGTAAACAATACATATGCATGTATAGATGTGCTGCTTAAATATATTCACAAACAATGCAGGTCCAGACTCTCGACCTGTGTGTTGTCAAGTGTCCCACACCAGCCTCATCACATCACCTAGCCGAAGCTTTGTGTTCTATGCCAAACCTGTCTGACCTAACACTTGGAGGAAATCTCAATGAGGAGTTCTACTCTACATTGAAAGCAAAGGCTCCATCCATACAGGTATGTGTGTCGTAATGTAAATGTCATGGAGGGTCATTGATCGACAGAAACAACAGTAATAGTTATATTAACACCCCTCTTTAAAGGTCATTCACTTGGTATATTGGAACAGTCATGAAACATGGAATAAAAGCAAACTACACATTTACTGATTCAGTTGAAATTTAAGTGTGTATAGGATTGACATTGTTTGGATCAATATCCAACATTTTCCAAGTTTGATTGATATGTAAAATATGTCATATAGTTATAAGGAGCTAATTTAAATATAGTCTTGAATTTTCCACAACTGCACCTCAGCAACAAACCTCCTGACTTATGATTATTGTGCACATAAAATCCAGAGTTATGAATACCTGTAATACATTAATAGCAAATGTATATTTATTGGTATTGATTTATTTCAGTGTTGGTGGGAGTAGGATATAACAATGCATACAGGTAATGAGGTTGGAAGCCCTATAAAGAATACATATAAAAAATAAAAAAATTCTCTTACTAAATCATCCTCTCCATGGAAATTTTAGTTTGTTCTTTTTCTCAATAGATGAGAATTGAATTTAAAAAAAAAAAAAATTCAATCTTTGTTGTTGAGAATATTATTATGAATAGAACTATGTAATTAATAGGATATGTATGAAATGTAAGGGTTCAGTCAGAAATTAGTAAACAAAACATATTCATGTATAGGCGTGCTGCTTAACTATATTCATCTACAATGTCGGTAAAGATTCTCAAGCTGTCTGTTGACCAGTGTCCGACACGAGCCTCATCACATCACCTAGTCGAAGCACTGTGTTCTATGTCAAACCTGACTAACCTGACACTTACAAGGTATCAAAATGAGGAGTTCTACTCTACATTGAAAGCAAAAGCATCATCCATACAGGTATGTGTGTCCTTATGTAAATGTCATGGAGGGTCATTGATCGACAGAAACAACAGTAATAGTTATATGGTGCAGAGGTATATATGTTTTTTTCTTTCCAAACACCTTTTTTAAAGGCCATTCACTTTGTATATTGGAACGGTTATGAAACAAGGAATAAAAGCAAGCTACACATGTACTGATTCAGTTGAAATTCAGTGTGTATAAAATTGACATTGTTTTGAAAAATAATCAATATCCAACATTTCCAAGTTTGATTGATATATTAATATGTCATATAGTTTTTAAAGAACCAATTTTAATAAAGGATTGAATTTTACACACTACACCTGCAACGAGTTATGTTGGCGAATTGTGGTGAGTTGCCTCAAAGAGGTACTCCCTCTGACTCACAAAAAGCTCTTGTAACTCCGGATAACTCTCAACAACTCTGTAAGGCTCGGCATAAGAGCAGTTCCAAAATTTTGAACATGTTCAAAATTTTCACCGACTCGTAACTCGAGGTAAACTTGCTTACTCTCGTAACAAGCTCGGGCTGCGCTCTTCATAACTCGTAGCAACTTGCCACCTTCTTGAATTATACTTAGGTATACTGAGTGCTATTCAAGTTTCAAAAAGGGAACGAAAACGATGATCATGCTGCAAGTCATGCCGAGTTGCCTATGAGATTAACGCGACTTTAGATCGAGTACAGGGACTTACGGCGAGTTTCGTATGAGCATGAGCAGAGTAGCATCTATCTTTATTTTGGAGAGCGCCAAAATTATGCATTTCCCTTTGATCCCATATGACTGATAAAAAACTCTTATCAATCGTTAGAAGATCTTAACACTTGGAGACGACGGGCTTCTACAGAGATGTGTCCCTAATACTTTGACAAAGTTTTCCAGCTTATTATTAGCTATTATGTGCTAAAGTTCTTTGAAGTGTCATTTAGATATATCCATTCATCTCATCTATTAAAAAAATAATAAAGTTAAGTGGAAAAAAATCGAGAAAAAGTGATATCATATCAACTTTACCCTGAGTTAGTGTTCGGATCAAAAAAGGCTCTCGAAATACCCGTTCTTTTTGCCAGGATTCTTGCTTCACGACGTCATTGTATTTACATAACTGATTTAGATGCATAGTAGAAAGTAGAATATGAAACACAAAAAAAGTTATTCAAACATTTGCAGATCTATGATACAAAGAAATAAAAAGCATTATGAGACAGCTATATTATTGCATTTTATTATTTATGATTCAAGGCTTTGGATTATTGGTTTTGTTGATGAAGATGATTACATGGCGATTTTCCATTGGTAATTGGATGATATTCGCAGGTCAATATGAGAAGGCATTGTTTTTCTCACATTAATAATAATACATTTATAGAGCGCAGAAACTAGGCCTGTATTATAATTTTTTATATAATAATATTATTAGGCCTATAGTAGGCTTGTTCATAAAGACCTATATTTAGGACTATTCCTTTTGAATAAAAATTTGCGATACGCCGCGTTTCACTTGGCTACAAATAACCGACCTTACTCTCAACTGTGTAAGTATAAAAGTATGCATTGATAAAAGGACATGGTAATTTTTCTCGCCTGTAATTACCAGTGTCGGAACTCTGACAAGACGATTTTCAATTTATCAACATGACCAATTTAGCGAATCATTCATGTATGGACCTCCTCTTTTATGAAGTGCTTATCTCAGCTGCCTGGACCAGATCCCACCCTAAGAGAAACAAACCAATGTAAAGAAGTAACTACTCTGGAAGATTACCGTTTTGAAAGAAGAGGATATAGGCCTAAACGTAGGTCAATCTACATGACAATACAAACAACCACTCTAACTTATATACCTTTACAAAATGTGTTGCAAACCCATGTACAACGAAGGCTTAGGCCTATTATGTATGGTTATGGCTCTGTTTATGATCGGCTGAGCTTTAGCAGACGACAATCATTGACAATGGGGTAATGAATGGAGGTATCGACCGATCTGCGCGTGCAGTGGTGCTTATGCAATTTGTATTGTGAGTGTATTGAAAAGGAAAGACGTGAAGCTTCAGCAAAATAAGACGGCAATTTCCCTCAAAAATAACAGACCTTATTTTTTGTATTGATGAACAAAACTTATATTATTCGAAAGAAAAAAGTCTGATCTTTCATTTTTACATTTACGAAAAGTCATGAAAATGACTGAATTAGACGCAACAAGCAATGAAAGTAGAAAGCACTGCAAAATTTTCCATTACTGGCGATGTAACCGAAATCGCTCCGTCACAGGGGAAACAATCAGGGTGCGCGGGCTCGCTCTCAAAGGGTTAATAACTCGTTGGTAGATCAGTCAAAGTCGTACACAGGTCATCGCTACTCATACCGAGCTCATGTGACTCGTAATGTGCTCGGTTCACTCGTACATCAATCGTAGGAAACTCAATGTTGCTTCATAGATCACTCATGCAAATATCATAACAATTATTAAATTTCAAGCAACTTCACATGAGTTCACACTGGAGGCTTCAACTCGGCTAAGTGGGAGCCCTGCTTAAGCAACAAACCTATTGGCTTTTGATTCTTGTGCACATGAAATCCAGAGTTATAAATACCTGTAATACATTAATAGCAAATTAATATTTATGGGTATTTATTTCAGTGTTGGTGGGAGTAGAATTTAACAATGCATACAGGTTGGAAGCCCTATAAAGAATTACATAGAATTTAAACAAAATCATTCTTACTTAATTATCCTCTCCATGGAAATTTTAGTTTGTTCTTTTTCTCAAGAGATCAGAATTGAATTTGAAAATAAGATCTATTCAATCATTTTTGTTCAGAATATTATTATGAATACAACTATGTAATTGATGGAATATGTATGTATGATGAAATGTAAGGGTACAGTCAGAAATTAGTGAACAAAGAAATGCATTTATAGACATGTTGATTAAATATATTCACAAACTATGCAGGTCCAGATTCTCTTCCTTTTTCTCGAGTGCACTGCACCAGCCTCATCTCATGACCTAGCCGAAGCACTGTGTTCTATGCCAAAGCTGACTCACCTGACTCTGCTTGCCCTACAATTGGGAAAGAATCAACATGAGGAGTTCTACTCTACATTGAAAGCAAAAGCATCATCCATACAGGTATGTGTGTCCTTATGCAAATGTCATGTAGGGTCATTGACCGACAGAAACAACATTAATAGTTATATGGTGCAGAGGTATATATGTTTTTTTTTCTTCGAAACACCCTTTTTTTAAAGGCCATTCACTTGTTATATTAGAGGTTATGAAATGAGGAATAAAAGCAAGCTACACATGTACTGATTCAGTTGAAATTCAAGTGTGTATAAAATTGACATTGTTTTGATGATAATCAATATCCAACATTTTCTAAGTTTGATTGATATGAAAATATGTCATATAGTTTTTAAAGAGCCAATTTTAATAAAGGCTTGAAGTTTCCACACTGCACCTTAGCAACAAACCTCCTGATTTATGATTCATGTGCTCATGAAATACAGAGTTATGAATGCCTTTAATACATTAACTAATATTCTGCCATAAGGCCGCATTTACGCTACTGTATAGTGCCTTGTACATGCGAGTGGGCAAACCCGGACTTTAGTGCCCAGCTGAAAATCTCAGTTTATTATGGATTTAATATCAATAATATTAATTATGCTAATATATGCAAATATAAACATACCAAAACTTGATGATTTTTAATCATTTGACGTCATAAAAAGCAATTTTAAGCCAAAAATAGCAGCGAAGTAGGGGATCTCCTCTTTGCTTGATGCGAGATACTAGCGAACTGAAATAACCGAATAAAAACTATGGTGAACTAAAAAAGAAAAGAAAAAATCAAACCACCTCTGAAATTACCTTTGAAATGTTTATTAATTTTTTCTTCCGATATGCGCACATGATAGGGGCAGGTTGGGATGGGATGGGGGGGGGGGGGTGCTCAATAGTCGCCAAATTTGGGGTAAAAGGGCAACTGGCCTTGGGGGGGGGGCTAAATTTATTATTTACTTATTTTTCTTTGTAATCATTTTTCTAATTTTTTTCCGGGGTGGCTCTTTTCTTTATTCTGCTTCTTCTTTCTTTCTCACCAGATATGCACGAAACATATCTGGTGAGAAAGAAAGAAGAAGCAGAATAAAGAAAAGAGCCACCCCGGAAAAAAATTAGAAAAATGATTACAAAGAAAAATAAGTAAATAATAAATTTAGCCCCCCCCCCCAAGGCCAGTTGCCCTTTTACCCCAAATTTGGCGACTATTGAGCACCCCCCCCCCCATCCCATCCCAACCTGCCCCTATCATGTGCGCATATCGGAAGAAAAAATTAATAAACATTTCAAAGGTAATTTCAGAGGTGGTTTGATTTTTTCTTTTCTTTTTTTAGTTCACCATAGTTTTTATTCGGTTATTTCAGTTCGCTAGTATCTCGCATCAAGCAAAGAGGAGATCCCCTACTTCGCTGCTATTTTTGGCTTAAAATTGCTTTTTATGACGTCAAATGATTAAAAATCATCAAGTTTTGGTATGTTTATATTTGCATATATTAGCATAATTAATATTATTGATATTAAATCCATAATAAACTGAGATTTTCAGCTGGGCACTAAAGTCCGGGTTTGCCTGCGAGTGCGCTATTGATTGTGCTGAGTGTACTGTGCTGAGTACTTCGCACACGCTATTGATCGCACCATCAGATTATCTTAAAAAAACCTTGGCACAGGGGGAATTGTGGCTTGGCACAATGGGGATTAGACCTGTGGCACTGGGCTGTATTCATTATGGCAGGATAACAGTTAATAGCAAATGTGTATTTATGGGTATTTTTTTTCTTTCAGTGTTAGTAGTTTACATTTACCTCTTACTAAGTTCGAGTCCTGTTTGTCATAAAACTATTTATTTTTCAACCAATTTTCATTCCATTTCCTTTAGTTTCTATTTAATCTTGTACATGCAGCTAAATAAAATTATTTCCCTTCCAGGGCATCAAATTTTTAATTTTTGACCAGTTCAAAAGTGTACCACATAAAATGTACAATATTTGTTGTTGCGAGATGCGGATGAGCGCTATGTCATTGACGTTCTGGTTAAAAAATTACTCTCACTAAATCATCCTCTCATGGGTAATTTAATTTTGTTTTTTTTTCTCAATAGATGAGAATAAAATTTATTCAATGATTTTTGTTGGTAATATTATTATGAATACAACTATGTAATTAATGGAATATGTATGAAATGTAATGGTACAGTCAGAAATTAGTAAACAAAACAAATGCATGTATAGATGTGCTGCTTAAATGTATCCACAAACAATGCAGGTCCAGATTCTTGAGTTTCATGTCGAGTGTACCGCACCAGCTTCATCACAATACCTAGCCGAAGCGCTGTGTTCTATGCCAAACCTGACTAACCTGAAACTTGGAAGTTATCTCAGTGAGGAGTTCTACTCTACATTGAAAGCAAAGGCATCATCCATACAGGTATGTGTGTCCTAATGTAAATGCCATGGAGGGTCATTGGTCGACAAAAACAGCACTAATAGTTATATGGTGCTCAGGTATTTACAGTGCGTCCCAGAAAAAACGAAACCGAGAAGTATCGATGCTTTATCATAACGTAATCACATTTTATAATTGATAAATGACACATATTTGGAAAGCTTAGATCCTCCTCTTTCATTTAATGCAACTCATATGATGCATATTTCATGCATGAGTGATTAAAATCAATTTGAAGAGAGGGAACCAAAAAGTCATTTGGCAGACGGTATATGAATTTCAAAAAGAAAATCACATTTCTAGAAAGTTGAGGTTCTGCCCTTTCATATGACACCTCAATCAGGAAAAATGAGCAAGAAATGACAAAGTTCTGTTTGTAGTGCGTGCATTTCCATAATTTTATAAAACGAATTCGTTTTCACTGGGTGCCTGCCGTAGCAACAAACAGAGTGGACAAAAGACCTAAGACCTAACTCCATTTCGTTGACAATCAGCCGTAAACGAAAGACTTCATGCATGGCTGATTGTAAACGAAACGGAGTTAAGTCTGTTGTCAACTCTGTTGCTACGGCAGGCACCCAGTGAAAACGAATTCGTTTCATAAAATTATATACTTGTGTGCGCTCTAACAGCCACATTCTTGACGGGTTTCTTGCCAATTTTGTATAGAGGTGTATATTGGTATCATCTTCAAGCCTATGAATTGTTGTGATGCTGCCTCTAGTGTGCCATCTTTTATAGGGTCAAACGTCATATTTTGAAAGATGTCTAGTGTGCACTCTATTCTACAGTCTAACTGCCTCATTTCTTGACAGATTTCTTTCAAATTTTGTATGGAGGTGTATATTGGTATAATCTTGGTATAATGTTTTATAGGGTCAAAGGTCATATGTTTTATATGCGCCCTAACTGCCACATTTCTAATATGATTTTAAAGACCACTTTTACTCAATCTACCTCTCAATAGCAACTTTAATGTGTTCCTTTTGAATTTGAAAATAAAAATTGATTCAATCCTCTTTCTTGACAATGTTATTCTCAATACAACTATGTAGTTAACTCATATCATGCCATATAGGCTGCATGCACGCTACCGTTATAGTGCTTTGTACACGGGAGCCCGCTATCGATTGGCCACTTAATCCATGCATACTCGCATTCGTAATGGCAGTTATTGTTCATGCTCATTGTACTGTGCTAAGTGCTTTGCATACGTTATTGATCGCATTATCAGATTATCTTAAAATAAACTTGGCACAGGGGTGGTTTGTGGCTTGGCACAATGGGGATTAGCCCTGTGGCACTGGGCTGTATTCGTTATGGCAGGATAAGAGTTAATGGAATTAGTGTGAAATATAAGAATACAATCAGACACGAGAAATATAAATCGGTATTGGAATGAATTAGGTGGTCTGTTATTAAATCTAGTGGAAGTTGCTCATGTTATGAATTGTTACAGCTACAACATATCAATTTGGGAAAAATTGATCAATATTCACAGAGATTCAGTCAATTTTCCATAAATATGCAAATTCGTATTTTTAGTTCCAACGCCAAAACTTGAAAAAGGATAAACGTCTGGACAGGAGACAAGCATCATAGAAATGGAACGATATGATATTGTTACACTGTATAGACTTAAGAGATTACCCCTTTAGGTTTATTACACAACAGGGAATCTGATTTTCCGTTGGGTACTTTGTACACGAAAACCATTGACATTCCTCTCCAAAAGTATTAACGCACACAATTAGGCATTTTAATACATTGTATGTGATTGTATATATGTTGTGATAGTCAAAGAAGGGAATAAAATCAAATGTAAAATTGAACCACAAAAAGAATTAAAGAAAATTGACCCACCGGGAATCAAATCTTTGAATCTGGGTCAATTGAATGGGAGGCAAGTGCTTTAACCACTGGACCAAAATATTTCTCATAGACTTTACATGCAAAGCTGACAAACGGCCATGGCATAGTCGCAATTTCAACTTGCAATTGGAAATTTCTACATGATCCCAACATTTGATTAATTGTAAAAAAAAGGCACGTCCCCTATTGCTCATAGTTTCAGTTATATACCTCACTTTAGAAATCCAGCCATCTGATTGGTCGAAATTAGAGTTGAGATTTTAGCCATAACCGGTCAGTAGTCTTTTGAAAAAAGCCCTAGGGCACTTTTCAAAAGACTATTGACCGGTTTTGGCATTTTATGTATATGTGTACTTTCTCAATGGGAAGGAGTTTAGCACACAAATTCGAGTGGTGTGCGATCAGACACCCTATTAAGACTAGGTCTCAATAGCGTAAACAAACTTGATTACCATGATTGGTAAGTCGCACATGTATTCTTTGACCCTTTTTGGTATATAAAAGTAATGACTGCTTTAATATTCGAGGCATAGTTGTTTTTATAGGCTCTCCGTCTCAGGGAGGTTACATGAGCGTGCTACCGCCCCGAGACATGCTGAGGGGTGATAGCACGATCATGTAACCTCCCCTTGAGTGTATAAAAACAACTATGTTTCTCATAACAGTCATTATTACTATACTATAAAATATCAAAATTGTGGAGAAAATGGAGCAAGAAAAAGCAAGATACTGCTCAAAGAACAATGTCATGTAGATTCATGATGTGAACGAAATTCACCTTCTCTAGACATAACACGCAAATTAAAAAAATGCTGACGTGTCGCCTTTAATTGAAATTGTCACTATGATGACGTCATCAAAATGAAAAATGGTGGTCACTGATCTTGTAGAGAATTGTCTTAGCTACAACATATCAAAATTTGGAAGTAAATCAATCAATATTTACAGAGATGCAATCAATTTTCCATAAATTTGCTGACGTCATAATATGCAAATTTGTTATTCGAGTTCCAAGGCCATTATAATGATGTCACGATATACTTAAATGCAAAATGAGACATGAACTAATATCTACGAATCATACTCTATCCAAACAAGACAAGAAAATTAGGGGTCAACAGGCTTCTTAAAGAGCTTTAATGCATTTTGTATAGGCATGTTTTTGCCCACATATGCTATGTATTACAAGAGCTTCCACGTAAGGACATTTAATTTGAAGGGACGCTCATTCCGTTATTAATGGTCATAAAGAGATAGAAATGGTATCAAATTGTTTGGAGAAAAAAAATGAGAATTATCATGAAAGAAAATAAAGATAATTATGAATGAGAATTGAATATCTGTTATGAAGTTATGATCATGATTTGAATTTCATAAAATTTCACAAAATGGCCCCTGGATGACGTCGCGATAATTTAATGAACTTGAAAATGTTCCTGTAACGTCTCATGATGATGACCTATGACTGTATCATAATTGAAAGAAATTAACTATTCTGATCTTGGGTTATTCTCTGCAAACAAAAAGGGGGAAAAGAAATTTAAAAAAAGAATAATAATAATAAGAAAGAAAGAAAATTCTGACCAAATTAATAGGTGATCTGTCGCTGACAGACCACCTAATTAGTGAATAAAGCATATTCATGTATAGACATGCTTAAATATATTTACAAACAATGCAGGTCGAGATTCTCAAGCTTGATGTTGTCGAATGTCCCACACCAGCTTCATCGCATCACCTTGCAGAAGCACTGTGTTATATGCCAAAGCTGACTGACCTGACACTTCAATGTTATATCAATGAGGAGTTCTTCTCTACATTGACAGCAAAGGCATCATCCATACAGGTATGTGTGTCCTAATGTAAATGTCATGAAGGGTCATTGATTGACAAAAACGGCAGTAATGTTATATGGTGCACAGGTATATATATGCATTCTTTTTCCAAACACTTTTTTTAAAGGCCATTCACTTGGTATATTGGAACAATTATGACACATGGAATAAAAGCAAACAACACATGTTCTGATTCAGTTAAAATTCAAGTGTGTATAAGATTGACATTGTTTTGATCAATAATCAACACCCAACCTTTTCCAATCTTGATTGATATGAAAAAAATGTCATATAGTTTTTAAGAGCCGATTTTAATGGGCTTGAATTTATCAAACTCAACCATAGCAAGACACCTTTTGATTTAGTGGGTCTCATGCACATGAAATCCAGAGTCATGAATACCTTTAATACGCTAATAGCAAATGTGTATTTATGGGAAATTATTTATTTCAGTGTAAGTAGGAGTATGACTTATCAATGCAAACCGGTTGGAACCCCTATAAAGAACACAAAAAGAATAAACAAAAATCACTCTTAATCATCCTCTCCATGGAAACTTTAATGTCTTCTTTTTCTCAATAGACAAAAATTGAATTGAAAATAAAATCTATTCAATCCTTTTTCTTGAGAATGTTATTATGAATACAACTTTGTGATTGATGGAATTTTGTTTGTAATATTCACAAACAATTCAGGTCAAGATTCTCAAGCTTGATGTTGTCAAGAGTCCAACACCAACCTCATCACATCACCTAGTCGAATCACTGTGTTCTATGCCAAACCTGATTGACCTGACACTTCGAATGGTTCTTAATGAAGAGTTCTACTCTACATTGAAAGCAAAGGCATCGTCCATACAGGTATGTGTGTCCTAATGTCAATGTCATGGAGGGTCATTGATCGACATTAACAGCAGTAATAGTTATATGGTGCACAGGTTTATTCAATTTTGTTCAAGGCCATTCACTGGATCTACTGGAACAGTAATGAAACATGGAATGAAAGCAAACTACACATGTACTGATTCTGTTGAAATTCAAGTTTGTATCAGATTGACATTGTATTGATCAATAATCAATATCCAACCATTCCACTGTTTGATTGATATGAAAAAAATGTAATATAGTTTTTAAAGAGCCAATTGTATTAAAGGCTTGAATTTACCAAACTGAACTAGAGCAACAAACCTCCTGACTTAGGGGCCTTGTGAACATGAAATCCAGAGTTATAAATACCTTTAACCCTTTATAGCCCGGGGGGGGGGGGGGGCTTTAGAAGCCCCCCCCTATACATTTTTTGCGATAAATTTTTAACGCAAAATATTATGAGTTTTTTCTTTGACATCTGCCGCACATTTTAAGACCCTATTTGCGAAAATGAGGGGTATGGTATCGGAGATGTAGCACATATTTGTGACCAATGTCACACAAAAACGGCTCCAAAAATGGTTTTCAATGATCTTGTGTGTACAATGTATGAGTTTTATAAGAAGTGTTGTTAGAAGAATGTTATTTTCTGTTTTTCTTCAGATAACATCCCTTTTGGCCATCATGAACTATTCTAGATAACAAAACAATAAAAAACAAAAGATTTAAAAACAAAATAACACATAAGAATTTAGATTTTCAAGAAAAATTAGCATTTTTTCATAATTAATTACAATTATAAGTATGGAATTTCAATACATGTCATTAATTTGACTATCCTATCTTTTAAATTATATGACAAGCTACACACATGCGAAATATAATTGCATTTTCTACATAAATAGGGGGGAAACAAGACAAAATGAGGATTTGTTGGAAAAATGTGCATATTTGCATCATTAATTAGACATAAATTAAAATTAACGATATATATCATAAATTTTACTAAGCATACTTGATGAGTACATGATGAGAAACAAACACACCAAGTTGGGACAAAATCGGTCCATAAATAGCCGAGATCATAGGGGGGAGGGCCTTAGAAGTCTCCCCCCCCCCTGGGTTATGCAGTTTCAAAATAGCCCGGGCTATATAGGGTTAATACATTAATAATGTGCATTTATGGGAATTTACTTATTTCCGTGTTAGTAGGAGTATGACTTATAAATGCAAACCGGTTGGAACCCCTAAAAAGAACACATTTTTTTGTTGTTAATTACTCTAACTTAATCATCCTCTCCATGGAAACTTTAATGTCTTTTTCTCAATAGTCAAGAATTTAATTTGAAAATAAAATCTATTCAGTCCCTTTTCTTGAGAATGTTATTATGAATGCAACTATGCAGTTAATGTTTTTTTTTAATTTAAGAATACCGTCGGAAATTAGTAAATAAAAGACATGCATGTAGAGACAAGCTGCTTAACTATATTCACAAACAATGCAGGTCCAGATTCTCAAGCTTTATGGTGTCAGGTGTCCCACACCAGCCTCATCACATCACCTAGCCGAAGCACTGTGTTCTATGCCAAATCTGACTCACCTGACACTTGGAATGAGTCTCAATGAGGAGTTCTACTCTACATTGAAAACAAAGGCTCCATCCATACAGGTATGTGTGTCCTAATGTAAATATAATGGAGGGTCATTGATTGACAGCCACAGCAGTAATAGTTATATGGTGCACAGGTATATTCAATTTGTGTAAAGGCTATTCACTTGGTAAATGGGAACAGTCATGCAAAATGGAATGAAAGCAAACTACACATGTACTGATTAAGTTGAAATTCCAAGTGTGTATAAGATTGACTGTTGTTGTTTTGATCAATAATCAATATCCAACCTTTTCCAAGTTTGATTGATATTAAAAAATGTATAGTTTTTAAAGAGCTAATTTTAATAAAGGCTTGAATCCTGGAACTATATCGACAAACCTTCAGACTTAGAGGTGCACATGAAATCTAGAGTCATGAATACCTTTAATACATTAATAGCAAATGTATATTTATGGGTATTATTAATTTCAGTGTTGGTAAGGGTATGACTTTTCAATGCAAACGGGTTGGAAGCCCTATAGAAAATACACATAGAATTGAAGAAAAAAATCACTCTTACTAAACTATTCTCTCCATGCAACTTTAATGTGTTTTCTATTTTTCAATAGACAAGAATTGAATTTGGAGAAAAAAAATCTAATTCAATCTTTTTTCTTGAGAATGTTATTAATACAATTTTGTATTTGATGTAATTTTGTTTGAAATATAAGATACAGTTCACAAACAATGCAGGTCCGGATTCTCAAGCTTGATGTTTAGGAGTGTCCCACACCAGCCTCATTACAGCAGAAGCACTGTGTTATATGCCAAACCTGACTGACCTGACACTTGGAAGTTTTCTCTACAAGGATTTTTACTATACATTGAAAGCAAAGGCATTATCCTTACAGGTATGTGTGTCCTAATGTTAATGTCATGGAGGGTCATTGATAAGCAGAAACAGCAATAGTAGGGGAGTTCACACTTACAGAAAAAAGTGAGAATTTAAAAAAAAAATTGCATCATGATCCAATTTTTTTTTTTTTCATGTGTGACAGAATAATTCACTTGTATTTGCGATCCAATTTGCAGTAGGTCTTTCTATTTTTCAGAATAATCAAGATAGTTTGCCGGGCGCTGTGTGTGTGAAAAATTGAGAATCGAAAAAACAATATATTTAATCCCAGGATTTCAAGCGCGCATATCGTTGAGAATCACGCATGTGCCATTTGGATGTTCTTGCCATCGAGCGAGAATTCTCCGTGTGTGAATGGTCGCCCCCCCCCCCAAAAAAAAAAATTAATCTTTGCATCGCGTTTCAATTCGCACTAAGTTGACATATGTGCACGGTCGCAAAAAAAAAAAAAAATGATCTTTGCATCGCGATCCAAATCGCACTAATTGTTACGTGTGAACGGGCCTATTACATGGTATTGGTTATGAAAATCTGAAAATGCTACAACAGAAAACATCTGATAGTTCTACTACTGTTACCATTATTATGCTTAAATTTCATCATAGCAGCAAAATTCCTTTAAAGCCATCGTTTAACGGTGTTAAATCTAAAATGTATGGCCCTACGTGATATCAATGTCTCTGATATGGTGTAGTATTGAAGCCCTAAAAAAATTGCGCTTCAAAATATCATGAAGTGCCTCAAAAAAGTAAATATCTTTGAGTCTCCGGTTTTACCATAATCATTTTACCCAATAGACTGTAGTGTTATGAAAACCGTTAGGAAAACGCAAAATGATTTTGAATCATAAATATCTTGATAATCAGACAAGCGATCGGCTTGTAAAGTCTTGGGATTCCTGAATGACCTAAAGGTTTATAACTATGATTGCAGCTTGAACTAAATCAAGGATTTTGTTTATGGATCTGAGACAAATTTATCGGATCCCTTTAAATGTACATGCATACCTTGGCTAATATTACAATTTATATACCTCTCTTAAGTATGTTGAATAAATCTAGTCATCTGATTGGTCGTAATTTTAGCCATGCCTGCCTACCTTTCAATAGCTTTTTAAAGATGCCCACATGCCCATCTACACAGCAGATTCACAGTTTCGCACCATATTCAACTGACAATTCAGTCTATAAAAGTAGAAAATTGCTTACAATATACTATCAAATAGAGCCACAGACAAAATTAAAGGATAGCATATAGGCAGCCAGCTAGCTCAGGGATTACGGTAGCAACGTAGGCACGGAGCTATCCCAGAGTGCATTTGAAATCAGGACATGAAATGCGCCCTTTCATGGTTACAAGAGTGCGCATGCACCGACATGGGCGCCATTTTAAATTGCGAGTAAACAATGAGAGCCATATCTTTATCCTTTTCTTGAGCAAGGACTGGTTAAAACATCACAGAAAATCTGAGACACTGTTTGTAAATCTTCGCTGGAAAGTTGCCTGAATGTTATGATCATTCGGGAATCGCATATAAAAAGTACTGTATGGTATCCGTGCTCGCACAAAGAAACTTTTTACACGTAAACCGATGTGGATCTCAGCAAAATTTATTTATATGGCCCATTACCCAGGGCAATGGGCATCTTTTAAAAAACCATTGATTATATGCCAGAATGAAATGCAAGATCCACTGACTTGTAACTGATACAAGGTTTTACAAGCAATGTTCCTGTTATATCTTACAGGTTTTTTTCCCTCAGATTAGGAAGGGAAACTTCAGGTTCAATGGCATTGCTCACAATGACTTGGACTCATTTCTTCACGCCCTCACATGTTTGCAAAGGTCAGTATAGAAAATGTGATTTAAAAAATATAAAAATCAGAGAACAGCATGTAGACTTTTCATGAGTAGTGCTATATAGAAACAATATAAAGAGCCTTCAATGTAATGCAATAAATATATAATGCTGATAAATACCCCAGCAAGTTAAGATTTCTTGTCTGTCAGAAATAAATTTTCAGTTTTATTGAATGATCTCCTTACTGTGAAATAGGGATATAGACTCTATCTGATATATCTTGTTGACTGTAGTCTCTTCTATATTTGTATTCTTCTTCTTCATTCACTGATCAAAATGTTTTTCAAGACTGGTACATTCAATAATACCAATAGTAATTAATTTATTTCTCATCTTTAAAACAGATAATAAGAAAAATGTCTGTTTCCATTATAGGTCAAGCGATTGGCTACATGAGCAACTCGATTGACTCTGACAACTCGGCCGACTTGCCACTTGGACGGTCCAAATGACTCGGATGGCTCGGTGTACTAATTTTGTACATACATAATTGTTTGTAAATTTAGAACTACATCCAGTTCTAGATTTCCTGGAAAATACTTCCTCCGATTTCCGTCTGTGGAAATATTTCATGGGCTTTCTTCACATCATTCCAATGTACAGTATATGGAAATATGCTGCTGTAATTTTAAGATACATGTCTCTTTTGTCAATCTAACATGCCAGAGTTATCAGTGTAATATCTAATTTGACATGGATTATTTTTATGAATGATTTACTACATCCACCAGTAGTACACAATAAATTCAGACGAGGAAATCTTTCCAGGACTTTCTTTACATCATTCCAGTGTATATGTAAATATGCTGCTATAATTTGAAGATACTTGTCTATTTTGTCAATGTCACATGCCTGAGTTACTAGTGTAACATTCTATGGGACGTGGATTATCGTTTGTAAATTTAGAACTTCATCCAGCTTTAGATTTTAAAATCCATCAGAGGAAATAGTTTTCATGATTTTCTTTACATCGTTCCAGTGTACATGTAAATATGCTACTATAATTGTACAATACATGTTCATTTTAATTGTATTCAGAACTGGATTTCAATAATGTTGATGGTACATATTCCAGGCTTTTCTTTACATCGTTCAATTATAATTAAGCATTGTCAAAGGTAATACAAAGTTTTGGGAAATTTTGAAAATTGGGTGGAGAGTGATTCTATACAATTTTGATATATTTGGATGCCCCTGTAGATGTTTTATAAGCACTAGAAAATTTAGCTCTATAACACTCCTGCTTTCGAGAAAAATTTCTTATAAAAATTTACCGGTGCTCCCAGTAAATTTTGATAAATTTCAAATAGCGCCTACGGACCCACAATGGGAGCTGCGACCATGAAAATTTCAGAATATGTAGTTGTGATATAAAATTTTCAAACGGGAATAGCTAATTGGTCGATTTTAGTCAAGAAACATTGTTTTATAGCTTAATTAATATCTTGACCTTGAGAGGGAGCTATACAACATAAAGAGTTTATTATTTACAATTTCATAAGTTAAGACTCGATTTCAATCTGTGACAAAGATCACTGAATATTGTAGGATCCCATATGCTTCCAATATGTTCATTTGAACCAAATTCATGACCTTATACCAAAACTTTGTATTACCTTTAAGATACATCTGTATTGTTAACTTGTATATTTTTGCCATACTTGCCTTGTAAATGAGTTTTATATTTTTAGTAAGTTTGCATTCATGTTTGACTCATACACACAGTCGTAGACATACTATTATGAGCATTCCGTTACTTTGCCTTTTGATTCATTCGCTTCTGATTAAAGTGATGTCATTTTTATAATCCACTCTGATTTTTATAATAGACGATGCAAAGCATTCAGATCTGTGAATTTATTCTGAATTATGATGTACTAGACAGGTCTTTCTGAGTATATTGGATGATCATGAATTACTGAAATGTAGTTTGCAGTGCCTAGCTAAGATATGTCAACATTTTGATGTTCAAAGGAGACAAAAGAATGTGCAAGTTGTAGTTTGATGATGGTGTATTTGTTAGTGAGTATCCTAGTAGCTGAAATGGTGTCACGTGATACTCAACATTTTGTTACATTTCCACAACCGTGCAATATAAAAAAAAACGTCATAACGCGTGCAAAAGAGAATTAGTAAGACTGAGCACTTCTCTTCTCTTCTCTACGCATACCCATTGTTTGCATTGTTTCAGCTATTTGCACATGATGCAAAATGTTTAGGTTCATATATTTGTTTATACTGAGCATGCATGCAATACATATGCATGTATATATATATATATATATATATATATATATACATACATGTGTAATTGCATGCATGCTCCTGCAAAAAGTTTGTGCGTGTGTATACATATATATATATATATATATGTGTGTGTGTGTGGGTGTGTGTATATTTTTGTATCGGTAATCTATGCGAATGTTATTATTTAATGAAGATGTAATTAGATATAAATTGATATAAATTGGTACTTATACATTTTCAGAACAATTGATGATTAATTACGTACTTGAATCCTTTTATGTACAGTTGCATGATATAATTTTTATCGTGTTCTGAAGGGCATACCAGTATGGATAAATTTGGTTACATTACGGAAATGGCCGATTGATGTGTTTATCAAAAACTGTCATGATTCTAAGTTGAGTAAAAAAAAGGAAGATTTAAATATACCTTTTGTATCTTGATCTCTTTGCCTGATGTGAAATCTAGAAGAAAAATGGGAAGACGATGATAGAGAGCTAGAGAGGGGTAGGGATAGAGGGAGATTGAGCAAACAGGGAATGGGGGCTAGGGAGAGAGGGAGGGAGATGAGAGAAACAGACAGAAACATTCTAAGTTTCGAAGGGAGTGAGCAAGAAAGCAAAAGAGAAACAGAAAAGGGAGATGTTAAGAAAAACAATCGAAAATTTGAAAAAGATGAGTGAGAGAGGAGATTGAGAGGGGGGGGGGGTGATTTCAGGAAAATAGCAAAGGAGAGAGCATGGAAAACGGCGATAAGGATGACTACGGAGAGAGACTTAAATCGTTAGAAGATGGAGAAATAGTGAGAGAGTAATATTGGTGAAGAGAGATACAAAGAATGTCGGTGACGGAATAAAGGGGGGGGGGGGGGGGGGGGGTGCAAATAGAGATACCTGCATGTAGCAATTGGTGATAATGGGGGGGGGGGGGGGGTGAGAGAGAACGAGCAAGAGAAACGGTAATAGGGTGATAAAAAAGAGGTAGGAACATTAATATTTGTAGAGAGACGGAGGGAATGGAAGTAGATGATTTAAGTAATATAGGAGCAGAACTAAGGGAGATATACCGGGACACAAACAGAAATATGGAGGAATGAAACATGATCTAGAGGAAGAGAGAGAGAGAGGACAGTAAGGGCGAAAAAGAGATAACGGAAAGGTTTAGAGAAGGAGAGAGGGAACAAAATAGAGATACCATGATAAATGAATGGAAATTGGAAGAGAGCGGGAGAATGCATTAACCCATTAAAAATGTGCATCCTGTAAAAAGGCATCAACCCATTTGGGAAAGCATAAAATGACTTATCAATTACATTATCTGATCATTTCTTTTCTGTGTGTGGCACGACAACATATATTATATGTATCTAGAATAGGTGTTTCTATGGACAGCTCTATGTGTTTTAAAAACTTTGAAAAATGATTAGTTTTAATAACCCCATATTCTGAGTAAATCACACTTTTATCAAATCAAACTCATAATAAAAATGGAATCAATTGGAAGGTCTTCATCAGATAATACAATCATATTCAGTAAAAAATTGAAAAATCATGATTTAATTTGGAAATTCTGTCACATTTTGAGCAAAAAATTGTACTTTTAGTAAAAAAAGAAAAATGCGCGTGGCATATCCACCCCTATGTTACCTTTTGTATTTTTGCAAGAGCTTTAATAACATGCATGCCATGCATCACCCCAAATTGCCGTCAAAAGTAAAATCGTGTCTTGGCTGGTCTACTACTGGGCTTCCGTACAATTATAACACGTATTGGCTTTGTCGTCATCTTTAGAACGCTTTTCGTCCCCTTTCAGTTATTTTCCCCGTGAAATTTTGCAAGCATATTTTAGGTCGTCAAATGCAGGGCATCTCGGAGCCGGATTTTGACAATCTGTCAAGAGGGAGGGGGGGGGGGGGGCATTTTAGACGTCATTTTATACCCTGCATGATTATACTAGTGAGCACTTTTTTGGGGGGAACTTGCAAATTTGAAAATCTATCATTTGAATTTGAATATCAGATAAAGTGTCATAAACAGAAGCCAAAATAGTTTTTCCATACTTCAGTTATTTATGTCTATCTGAGTTTTCTTGCATATTATAAGAGCGCAGAATGTTTTTATCAAAGGGGAACGAAGTAATACCCAAATTCAGACATGCTTACCCTTCAAATAGTTTTCCATTGAAATTTTACTCAAAAGAATCTATTCGACAAATATGTTTTTGAGCTTCTAAGCCCCCACGCTCCCCAGGTTACAATCGGTAATTGATTTGACTTTTTTGGAATGTAAAACCTACCAGCGTGAACATCATAACAAATGATTTCAATCAAGGTACCCATCTTTCCAGAATATTCCTTTCAAATGTTTTTTCTTTCTTTTGTTACCCATGTTACAAGCGAACCTTTATGGAATATATCATTCACCTACGATACTGTGACATGTTATAAAGGGTGTGCACGTGCCAGTCCATATGCCATGGTAATAGATTTGTGTGGTTTCCAGGCAAAATCACTCTTTTGTCTCCCTCCCTCTCTCTCTCTCTCTCTCTCTCTCTTTCTCTCTCTCTCTCTCTCTCTCTCTTTGTGTTACGAAATCCAGGGTACATGAGTAAATCCATTTCCTTTACATAGTATAAACTAATAAGAAGAACAGAAAAACACTTCACATACAAGTAGTTCCATAACACAACGTTTTTCTTTAAAGGTACCATGCCCTATTTACAGCCAACATCAAATTCTGTAGAACTTTGCAGGAATAATGAATATGTCTTGTATGTCCTGCCTATCTGTACAATTTAAACGTTAGCAGTGTCCTAATATTAAAATTATACAAGAAACCCATTACTTTCTAGACTACATTGTCAGACACTATTGACTGACTGACTGAATTCCTTTTTTTCTTTGGTAATAATATTAAAAAAATGAGATGTGAAGGGTACTTGAGCATTTCTCTACATCAATAGCCCAATTCTTGTAATAGCCAAAATTTAAACTGATTGAATCTCTGCGCAGCACAATACGTTCGACCACTCGGTACAAGGGTCTGAAAATCAGACTAAAGTCCATATGACAAAAAAATGATCGTTTCCCTCAAAAGCCATTTTCAAGCCCTTCCGTTTTGAGTGCAGTTCCAAATTAGTATTATCTTCCAAATGCCGTTGGAATGTAACCTTTACATTTTTGGCCTGCAAATGGGACATTAGAAGAAAATTCGTGAGTCTGCGAGCAAGGCTACTTGTATTATTGTAGAATCGTCAAATGTCGGATGATGATTTTGTTTCCAACTGAACTCGAAAGCCTCGTTTCTACATGATGTAATAATGACATAATTATATAATGGCTATAGTGACTTTAAAGGATAATATAATAATCTCTCTTACACGTCAACATGGTCAATCAGACTTTGTCGTTCATACCAATGATTTACTTTGAGCACCATCTTATGTTGATTCACAAGTCAAGAAAGTCATTGGCCACAATGCCATTGGCAGACTGAAATATAATAATTAGTCTTGCAGGAATTTCCCACGAGGTGGGAAGGAGGGGGGGGGGGGTCATTTTCAACATGACCGGCTATGCACCCGCGTCCAGAAAAAGCGTCGAAAGGGTGTCTTTTACAGCTATACGGCGTCCTTTGTCTACCTGAGGAACTGTATATTTTGTCCGCTTTCTTTGTCAGTCATGTTCATAGTGACTTGTGTATAATAAGAGTGACACCCCGGAGGAATTTCCATCTTGAAAAGAATTTCAAAAGGACGTCTGGATTGCTTTTCCATAATCTCTATTTTTTTTTCTTTCTATTAGAACAATAATAATGATTCCTCAAAATACAATTCTTTTTCATCATATTATTAACTTAATACATGTACAATTCAGTTAAAATATTTAAAAATATGAGCACTTCCCTCACTAACACCCCCCCCCCCCCACACTTTATCACATG